ATATCACGTCTAACATTGAACTTATGATAACTGTTCCTATTAGAATAAGGAGATTTGTGGAAATAAAAGAATTTCTTATTGTTTTAATCAAGAACTGATCTTAGTTAGACTACCACTGAACATCAGGTAGCACTAGCACAGCCTATACGTCTTAGTATGGGATTATACAGCAGTGTGTACATATGACACCCTATCCGGGAATCGAATAAAGTGCCTTTGATCTAACGAGCAAACTTTAACATTTAAGATCAGTTCGTGACTTAAACTATGAAAATTTTGTGATGTTATCTTCAGCAGCGACTTGCTTCATAACGCAACTAATGGAGTCTTAATTAATAGCCATAATCAGTAGACTACGATCATATCTGGTTTGAGACAGTTATTCACTGCAGGCAATGTATGAGGATTGCACAATATCGTAAATTCATTGAAATAACAATTTCTTTTAAACACTAAGAGACTTTTCATCGTTGACTCGAACTAAAGTGAAATCAGGAGTATAAGATTTCACTGATAATTATCATGTTGTTAAGTAATTAAAATAAAATCCGATGTTTCAGTCACTCTTGGTTCATCTACGTAACTGAATAATGATTTTCTTAATCAATCAGTTCATCAGTTATAATCGATGTAAAGTCTGGTACAAATATTCGTTAACCTAAATTCCTGTAGCAAATGAGTTAGAATAAATCTCGTACTGATGAGGATGAGAAAGACTAAATACTTAGAATATAAGTTCGAAAGACAGAATGAATAGGGTATTTATAAAGGAACACCTAAAACTCTTGATCTAGATTAAGATGAAGAGTAAATACATTGACGTTACTGTGACCTATTCTGAACCATATTATCCATCTATTAGTTTCGATGATCACATTAATCCTAACCAAATGGTTTACATCTACCAATATAGCTCAATCCAACATTTAATGACTTCATATATAATTGATACTACATTTAACTTTCTTTCTGTCTAACCATACAGCAGCACACATCACCGGTTGGGTAGAGGTTAACGGTGAATGTAAAAATGGATTTCCTAATTTTTAGTAACAAAGCTATAACCTGTGAAGACAGTCAAATTATAAATGAATTCTATGTGAGATAAAAAAAACAATGTTAATAGTTTAAATTCACTTAGTATTGTTTGTTGGAATCTTCCCATTGACTTTTAGGACTGCAACTGATCAGTCTCTTATTGGCACATATGCATCCTGTACGAATTACCTCGATATTGCCTTAATTCACAAGCATTATAAGCACAGATATATAGTGGCTATTAGTGGAACCCAAAACGTGTGTCTCGTCCTATTCGGGACTCTGGGATGCAGATACATCCAGCTGATGAGTCTAAAAATGGAACGAAATGCGCGTCCTGGATTACACTGCTAGTCATCACCCATCTTTACTCAATATATTGATTTCCATTTCACACAACCACCCACTACAAAAATCTCTCTGGCTTCAAACTTATTAAGAATAGCTTCAAAAAACATTACATCAAATGAAGAAAAATAAAAAGAACAGATGAATATTGCCAATAAGTTACAATATAATATTTTTTCTGGTATATAATACTAAGAATATATCAAAACGAAATATCTAATTATTGAATAATAAAATGAATGAATGATCGTGTATTAACACTGTAGTTCTACTCCGACCGTTGATGCTACCTTGACGTGGTGGTCGGGCTTGCCTATCGTGATGAACCACTCGAACTATACTGGCTAGAATAATCGTTCCTCAAGGTTATACCATGCCAGACAGATCGGTTGAAGAGCGGTTAGACTAAATGCAGCAAACCCAAGGTCCGAAGATGAAATCGTACTGCTGATTGTATAGAGATGTGACAGCAGTAAGGTGTTTCCCTCAAACAACCAGCATAACATCAATGCTGTCTTCCCACAAGGAGGGGTGAGGTTAGAAAAGGTCGACCCTAAAAATGCACACCTCGCCTTATCCCACGGATATTCGTCTCCGACGGTAAGGTCCCAACAAGTACGGAGCTAACACAAAAACTACCCACAAAGAGGCCGTGCGTGACCGACCTTAAGCAGTTGTCCCTTGGGCACTGCGGTCACGCTCTCAGATCATTAAGACCACTTCTAATCCAATTTCGTTTTCAGGTACCTCTAGGAGAAACCTTCTACGGTGTAGACTGGGAAGTGATAACTGCCCTCATACCTCTAACAGCACTCAAGACTGACTGTAGTTCTACCCTACACTGTCATAGCATAACCGAAGAACTGCAGTGAATCCTTAGATCACTGAGAATCAAAACATTATATAAAACCAGGATATTAACAAAACCAATTGACTTTTAACGAATTCTCAATATCACTTCACTCTATCAATATTTTAAAAGTTTTGAGAACGAAATGATTTTGACTATACCACTGTCGGAAAACAAGAAACATTTGACAGTTATGTCGTTCTCATATTACACTAATCAGTAGTGTCCATCAACAAACACATTTCACACAACAAAACTAAACAAATTCCATCTCCCACACTAACTATTAACATCTACATCATTAAACTAACATCAAATGACATACGTTTAACGACAATCAATTCAACATTTTACACAACCATCATACATCGCCTTAAATGAATAACTATCTCATACTCCAAACCCATTGAACCTAAACAATCACAACTTCTCACTCGAACTCCACCAGTTTCATTTTTACATTACTCAATAGTCAGAAAATAAACATTATCAATACGGTGATGTAATCTGTGAAGATAGAGGAATTTTCATAGTTCCAATCACGACTAACCATACTATCGTGTTCATCAAATCGCATTATCATACAAGTAAACTGAAATGTAGAAATTGAATAATGACAACTGAACAATGACAATGACTGATTGATTAGCTAGTTAAATTATGAGACAATTTTCTTTAATGATTGAATGTTGTGAACTACTAAAGTTTCTTTAACTATGAACGAGTGTTTAATAGACAGTTGGCATTCGATGTATTTGAATTTTAGATCAGAAGGGTTTTTGTGGAGATTTCAGTATTTTCATAGTTGAAGTCATGAGTCAATTGAAGCTAGACCACCGCTCACTGAAGGCAATTGATGAACGATTGATCAGATTTCGTGGATTCGTTGAAGTTAGACATTAACATCCGTTGGGTGCCGAATAAATGGTCTATCGGTTAAGCGCTCTGGCCTCGAGACTGGTAGATCCTGGATTAGAATCTCGTGAGGCGAGATCATGGATGCGCACTGCTGAGGAGTCCCACTATAAGGCGAAACAGCCGTCCAGTACTTCCAGGTTTTCCCTGGTGGTCTAGCTTCAATTAACTCATGATTTCAACTGTGAATGTATTTGAATTTCGCAATTTACATGATGGAGTGATTGTAATTAAACAAACATGAGATTCATAAGTGTTACTCTTTCAAAGCCTTATCAGAGTTTCAAGTTAGTTTTACTACACTAAATGTTAGTAACTGATGAATCATTGAAACTAACTGAATTAAAATCAAATCTTTCACCCGATACTTCCTTAGTTTTAACTATTTTCTAGTTGATATATGTCTATTCTATTTTATTAGTGATTGGAACTGACAAAAAGGATAGATTCCAGTTGTAATATGATTCGAACTTAAGATTGTTTAACAATATAAATATTAAATGAGTAGAAAAACTGTGTATTTCTAATGTTTCGTAACTTAATGTAAGCTACTTCTTCAGAATTAATAACTAACTCTAGTCTATATGAAAATTAATACATAATTAAATTTACCGATTACAACTGGTCTAGTTTATTTCATCAACCATCCATATATTAGTTATTTCTATTAATAAAATGATATCCAGCTTGAAAAAGAAAGGATTTTGTTTAATATGTTCTATTTCAATCCGTCAATATGATTTCTATATTAAATAGAACGAAATGTGAGTCTTGGATTCTATTAATAACCACCATCTATCTCTGCTTGTAATACTTATGAATTAAGGCAATATCAGGGTCATTCGTACAGGATGAATAAATGCCATTAACAGACTGATCAATTGTAGTCTTAAACAAAAGTGAATATTTGGCCAAGATCTATGCTGAGAATTTAAAAAACAATATAATACTATTTAAAATTGGTCATAGTAAACATTCTAATCTTTTTTTACTGAAAAGAGTTTAGCAAGATCATGGATCCATTGAAGTTAGATATCAACACGGTTGAATGCGTAGCAATTCGGTAGTTTAGAGATTAAACGTTCACGCGTGAGACTGAAGGTCCTGGGTTCGAGTTCTATGTGTAAGATTGTGGATGCGTACTTCTGAGGAATCTCGTACTAGGAGAGAAAGGTCATTCAGTGTTTTCAAGTTTACACTGATGGCCTAGCTTAGATCAGCCCATGAAAATACTATAAACTTCACAAATGCCCATATTGATAATTATTTTTTCTTTAAAAGTACTGTAAATCAATCAGAAATTTAGAATAATATCAATGTTACAATGAAGTTACATGTAAACATTTCCTCTTTTATAATACAGAATTCATTTGAGATACAGTCTAATCAGTGTTTGTTTTATTAACTCTTGTTTTAATTGAGACTATGAACCGATCAATGTCGGACCACCAGCTTAGTATGGAACTACTCAATGGGTGTTGAGTATGAGATAGTTATTCATTTAAGACGATATATGATGATTGTGTGAAATATTGAATTGATTGTCGTTAGATATGTATGTGATTTGATGTTAGTTTAATGATGTAGATGTTAAGAGTTAGTGTAGGAGACGGAATTTGTTGTGAGAGGTTGGTTGTGAGAGGTGTGTTTGTTGATGGACACTACTGATTAGTGTAATATGAGAACGACATAACTGTCAAATGTTTCTTATTTTCCCAACAGTAGTCTAACTGAAATCAGTTCATAATTTAAACCATAAAGATTCTATCATCACCCTATATCCCCTATACTAACATAAAATTAACATTAGAAATGCATTTCGAAAACTACGGAAAATACTATTACTTACTTATTTATTTTATTATATTGTATATTCAATTCATTCATTGATAATGTATCTGAATTTTCATTGATGATATCCGACTGTATAATTCCATTTGTTGATACTGTCGACAATTGATATGTTGGTAAATCATGTGACATAGATACAACTGTTGGTAACAATGTCATCATTGTTTTAGCCGATAATGGTGACATAACTGGTGTTTTACACATTGTTGTCGTAGTTGTCATAGTTGTCGTTGTCATTGTTGTTGTTGTCATAAGTACATCAGTAGCACGATCACGTTGTCGACGATTTTTAAACCAATTTGATACTTGTGTTATAGTTAAACCAGTTATCTCAGCTAATTGTCTTTTATCACGTGGTGATGGATATGGATTTTGATGATACCATTCACGTAATAGATTTCTAGATTTTTCTTTAAAACAATAACTTGTCTCTTCACCATCCCATATTGTATGAGGTAATGGATATTTACGTCTTATACGATATTTAGCTACAGCACCTAATATTCTACCTTTAATTTTTTCTTCTTCAGCATAATGTGCACGTAACCATAAATTTTGTAATCTACTATGATAGATAGATGAGAAATTACAATTTTCTAATATATGATATAATTGTGTATATTGTTCATGATGAAATGCAATCATTGCTTTGGCTACTTGAATACATTCTAAATTATGTAATTGTATATTCCATTTAGGTAATGTTTGTATAAATAATTCCAGTCGGTCAATATCACCACGTTGTTGCAGCGTTTCACATATGCATATGATTTGTATTTCATTGAAGAAATTACCATCATTGGGAGTTGTAGTGGTGGAAATACACAGACTACTATTATTTTTGTCATTGTTATTAGTAGTATGTGCAGTTGAAATTATTGGTGTATAATGATGATGTTGCTGATAATAATTATGATGCTTATTATCATATTCTTCATGATTATCATTCACATAATATTGTTGTTCATAAGGATAATTTAAACTTTGATGAGGTTGATGTAGACTGTTTGTGGCATACGCAACATAATTGGATTCATTTACTACTGTTGTTGTGGTTATAGGAAAACATATTGTTGAAGTCGATGATACTGTTGCCAATGACAATGATGTTGATGATGAGAATGATGATCCCGAAGAAGAACAAGATGATGATGATGAAGATGTGTATTCAGTAGATGGTAGATTAGGATATTTCCCATCATAATATAATTCATTAATTTGAACAGATAATCTACTACTTACATCTATTGTAGTATCAGTAGTATTCTGATTGTTGTTGTTACTAACATTTATACTATACATTACTCCCTTTTATCGTATTCTTAGTTAATTTATTACTAATACGTAATTTTTTTTTGTTGCTTTAAGGTAAGTTAATACCCTTTTTTTCTACTAGAAAAAAAATTTATAGTTGAACTATTCACTATCTCGTATTTCGCATATCGTCTTCCAATTCTTGCTTTTCTAATATAACATAGATGTAATATAATACATTGAAAATTGAATAAATATATAATACCAAGACACTGAATGGATGGTGACGATGATAATGTTGATGTTGATGTTGACGATGATGATGATGTTCAATGTGGAATGTAAAATGAGAGTATTACGATAAAAAATTTGATAATATATCAAGTGGTGTTTGTGTATTTCTGTATATAAATGCTTGTATTTGTAAACATTAGTGTACTGGCTTGTTTCTTTTGTGTGTATGTATATGTCTATACATCTATTTGTATGTATGTATGTGTGTGTATGTATGTATTTGTTTAATCCAACTTATTCACCATAGATTTTAGCACATGTGTACACACGTGAATATATATAGATAGATAGATGGATAGATAGATAGATATAGGCTTATTTATAAGATACACTTTCTTCTTTAACTTCTATAACCAATTATTTTTACCATTCACATTAAAGAACTGATTCATGTAAGACTCCTATATTCCTTAAAAAGGAGATGTGCTTGTTGTATGCATGAAATAATGTTTCTATGTATTTAATGTGTGTTTGTAGGTATGTATGTGTGCATATATTAATAATAAACTTGTTACAATTTAGAAAAAATCAATTTTTAGATTTTTCTTATGAATGGTTTTAAATTTCTATATTTTCCCTATTTCTCTTTTTTTTTTTAAGTTACCTAGGTAACAATATAGAAGAATTGATGTTCACTTGTTGCTTATGCTTTTATTACTCCACCACCACATATAGTCATGATTATTAAATACCTTGTTTGTGATTGGACAATTTAAGAAAAATAAAGACATATGCGTAGTTTAAATTTGAATATATAAGACTATTTCTTCCACCCCTTTGTGTTTATATTTCTTACGTTTTGATTGGTTAAAAATAAAAATGATTGCGTGAATAGCGTAATTTTCTTTTTCTCTGGTTAAATGCAGTAGAATAATTCGAATAAACAAATATTGGCATTGATTAGAAAACTAAATAAATAAACAAAATTGGACAGTGGCTAGCAGTGGAATCCAGGAAGAGCATTTCATTCTATTTTGGGACTCGTCAGCAGGATGTATCTGCATCTTAAAGTTGATGTTCACTCTGGAACTTGTGCTTGTGAATTAGGGCTATATCGAGGCAATACTCACAGTATGCACATATGCCAATAAGAGACTGATCAATTGTAGTTCTAAATATCAATGGGAAGATTCAAACAAACAATATCAAGTGAAATAATTTATTTCTTTTAAGTAACTTACAATAAAAGAAAGATTTTGATCACAATTGACATCATAAGTAAAGATGGATAATGGCTAGCAGTGGAATCCAGGAAGTGCATTTCGTTCTGTTTTGGGACTCGTCAGCTGAATGTACTTACATCTTAGAGTTGATATTCAATCTGAGACTTCAGGCAATATCGGAGCAGTCCTCATAAGATGCATATATGCCTGTCAGAGGCTGATTAATTGCAGTTCTAAATAACAATTAGAAGATATAAATAGAACAACAACAAGTGAATACAATTGACATCAGTTGTGGAAACACTAATGAATATCTAATGAGTAATATATTAGATTACAAATTTACATATTTTGAACGATCACTGGTCAATCTCTTATACAGCAATAAATGTAGATCATGTAAAGAGAGGTTTCAAAGTAGTTTGAAATAGTTAATTGTCTAATGATCCATTAGTTATTAATAGATTGTAGATTGAAGTTTACTCATGATCTTGTCCATTAAAATACTTTTCATTAAAATGACAATGTTATTATATATTTTATATCAAAGCAAGAAACACCACCATCTTATCTCAACATAGAACATACAGTGTCGAGCCACCTAGACTAGTGGTCACATTACAACTTGATCGATAGCATTCGATCTACACTAAGAAAGACTTGACACACATGACATTGATCATCACCTAGTGATCATTAGTTAAGTTTCATTTTAGTTCATTATGATCATTGAATAGTGACTAATATCATAGCTTTGATCATAGCTTTGATCAAGTTCTGTCGAAAAATGTAAATATCTCAGTTCTATATGAGATTCCTTATAATTTAAAATCCTTAATGATCATGACATTTTAGATTATGATCACAAAATGAATGAATGGCCAAAATATTTGGTATTTTAGTAACCATTTGATTTTCAACTATTAACATCATCCTATTCATTTATTTCACTTTAATCAATTGGATAATCTCCACAAAACCCCCTTCTGATAATAATAATAATAATAATCATATGCTCACTATGGACTGAATTCGAGAGGTAAATTCTGGAGTTCTAGTGAGAAGCTTTGACCAATGAAGTTCAACCAGGTCTGTTGTAAGATAGTAACTCACTGAAGACAATGATGAACGGTTGCTGAATTTTGTGGATTAGTTGAAGTTAGACATTAACACCGTTAGATGCCTGACGGCTCACTGGTCTAGAGGTTAGGCGCTGGAGCACGAGACTGGTAAGTCCTGGGTTCGAATCTCACAAGGCGAGGTCGTGGATGCACACTGCTGAGGAGTCCTATAATGAGACGAAACGGCCGTTCACTGCTTTCAGCTTTCAAATGGCGGTCTAAGACAGATCCATTCATGATATCAATCTAAACTAAACAATCTCCACAACCTTAAGCTGATAAAATGTAAGTGTTAGTTTTATTTTCATTTGAATGAAAGTACATACTTAAAAGAAGTGAAGTGATTCATAACATTTGCATAGTACTATAGATGTGTTGTATTCATTTTTCTATTTCATCTAGATTGTAAGTGATGTACATTAAAGTATTGTTCTAACTAGAGATTTTATTCCAGTCATCTGGAATTATCTACAATTGTCGCCTATAAACGGTTACTCAGTGGTCAGTCAGTCAGCTACAACGTAGGACCACGCACATATATGCATCAGTTCAAGTTGTCATACTTCATTAGCGCAACAAGATGAACACCGAATTCATAGAAGTAATTAATTTAATGATGGTACTATATAAAAGAAAGATTGTATATAAGGATATAGTACAGGAAGAAAGAAAGATATGAAGCAATTTTTATCTCATAGTTTAAGGGAAGATAGAGATTCACTGGTTAGGATGTTTGATTTTCAACCACTATATCATATATTTAAACCTCCCCCTATATAACTTTGTTCGGTCAATCGGCTAATATGTATCTACACTAGATAACTGAGCTGAGATAACGACAACTATTTGTCAGTGTTTCACAGTCATATATTCAGGATAAAAAAGAACAACTTGTAGTTAAATTGATATTTTCATAGTTGGAATCATGAATCAATTGAAGTTAGACTACCATGGAAAACCTGGAAGCACTGGATGGCCGTTTCGTCCTATTGTGGGACTCCTCAATGGTAGTGCGCATCCACTATCCCAACTCGCGGGATTCAAACCCAGGACCTACCAGTCTCGCACCAGAGCACTTAGTCGATAGACCTGTGAGCCGTCAGGCATTCAACGATGTTATTGTTTAACTTCAACCAATCCAAGATGTTTGAGCAATCATTCACCAATTGTCTTCGGTGAGTTGATATCTCTTCAACAGACTTGGTTGAACTTCACTGGTCACTGCTTCTCACTAGAAGTCAAGGAAACATCCCTTGAAGTCAGTCACTAGTAAGCATATGATTATAGATCAGAAGCTAGACCACCAAGGTGGTCAACATTCATCCATTAAATAGACCAAAAACAATTGCTTGAAAGTATTGAATACAACACATTATTTTGAATATTGAAAATGTAGCAGATAAACTCAATCCAATCAGAGCTATTTTTGGATGAATGTTTCAAACTAGTTAATCCATTCTATAATATATATATAACTCTTGATCCATTTCAATTTGTTTATTATATAACTATGTACATACATATATATACTTTCTCCAGTATTGAACAATGAACATTGTACATTGGTAGTGTATCAAATTACAAGAAAAAAGTACTACAACAACAACAACAACTGCAAAAATTAAAATTATTCATTATATATTTTGTTGCTATAGTAATTTATATTGTGAGTATTTAACTTAACTAAATACATAGAATTCTTCATACAATTATTTAGATGGATAAATTTGAAATTATTAGGTTTAAGCAGTGAAATGAATGTTAACTCTGGCAGTAAACATGTACTTTGAGATGATAAATTTTGAATACGGACGAAATACTCTTACGGAGTTTTATTGATAACCAATGCTTAATATTGATTGTAATACTTTAGATTTAATAACAATGTCAAGGCACTTCACACAAATTGAATAGGATCATTAACACTCAGTAAAGAACATGAACAATGGAATAATCTAAACTATTTTAAATTATTTACTTAATTACGCCTGCTACCCTCAGTGAAGCATAGGTTGCCGACCAGCATTCTTCAATCCACTATGTCCTGGGCCTTCCTTTCTATTTCTATCCAACTTTTGTTCATTCCTCTGATGTTTGTCTTCATTTCTCAGTACATTGTGTTCTTTGGTCTTCCACTTCTCTTTTGACATTCAGGATTCCATGTGAGGGCTTGTCTTGTGACTTAGTTGGATGATTTCCTCAATGTGTGTCCTATCTACTTCTAACACTCCTTCCTGATTTCTTTCTTTTGCTGAAATCTGGTTGATTAGAATTTCAAATACAATATATATTCAAGTGGAATCCCATAATAGGACAAAACGGCCGTCCAGTGCTTCCAGGTTTTCGATGGTGGTCTAGCTTCAGCTGACTCATGATCTTAACTATATAAAATTACTAAAATCTCCACAAAACCCCCTTGTGATATATTTTTTTGTTTATCCTTACATTTACTTCATATTATTGATATGAACAATTTTGATACGACCTAAGAGATATCATTCAACAACACGTACTCAGTAACGATAACTTCTTCTTCTTCTTCTTCTTCAAAGAGATGTTATAGACCCTTCAGTTATTAGAATATACACTAAATCCTAATTGGATATATTTCTTGATGGTATAAATAACTTCAATGAAATTTTATCTCAAGAACGTTCTACAATGAAGAGATTTTTTTTAAAAAAAATACTAACTCAGTTGACAGATTTCATTCTATGACATAAAGATTTTATAAATTACAATAGAGATTGATCAATTCCAATGCAAAATATTTAATGAAAAGACTTAAACAACTAATACAAAATGATTTCATGTCAATATCATAAATTACTGCTTAATGAAATGAAACATTAAATGATGTATTAGTAAGTATCTTGTTTTGATGATATCGACGAGGTAATCTTCAGTGAATAATTCACTATGATCTTGAAACGTCTATATTGATTCAGATTGATTTGATACTATGATCGTTTTACCTTCCATGCATCATCACATTTATGATATGTAATTTTTTTTAAAAAATAGA